AGAAGGAAGAGAGCCTTGATGTGGAGCACTGTCACAGCAAGCTGAGTCACGTTGAGCTTCTGGGACTTAAGGCAGAGAAGAGAGATGGAGAATTCCAGTACATCAAATCCCACCACCGTCAGAAGTGCTATCTATGCAGGGTATCACTCAAAATGAAAACCCTGACAATGAAACTGTGATACACTGTGCATGACAGGTCACGTTTTGATTTCCAAAATGTTAAAATGAGAAGAAGTATACATCTTGTCATCGATGCACTAGAGAATTAAAATAGCGCTCATGATTTGTGCAGGACTCCACACAGCAATGACAGTAGCAATAGAGGGCACGTCTCATTCTGTTCTTGAATTTGATGTTTGTGCCATCTGCCCCCACAACAGTCCACAGCTAAATAGGTTTGGGAACAGCCCGGTTACCAGCTGTAGTTCATGGTCTTCCTGTGGCAACTTCCTAAGGGTCTTCTAAGGTAACTTGCCAGATCAAATGTGCAAGCCATTTAAATTTGAATTTCACTAAGTAAACATACTTAGGCCTGGGAAAAGGGCGATGAGTAAAGTGTTTGTTGCATGAACACCACGGTCTGAATTTGGTACCCAGCACTCAGGGGAAAAGCTGGCCTGGCATCATTATAGAAATGAAGGATCTAAGACCTGTTTTAGATATGCTGTGTCATTAGAATTAATTGGCAGGGATTTCAGTTCTGACCATACTTTCCATTCTTGGTGGGGCAGATGGGGCCAGAACTTGAATACCACTAGAAAGCCATAAAAGCAGGAAGGGTTCTTTGATTCTTGGAAGGAACTTGCTGGAGTTGTCAATGGTCACTTACTAGGACAGTGTATCCAGTGTAACACTAATAATAGTAATGGTAGCTGCAGCCAGAAATCACAGCAAATACAGGAGCCCTTCATGTGTCAGGCACTGCAGACAAGTCTCCCCCTGCTTCCATTCTACAGAGAGGGGAACTGAGGCAGAGGAATTTGTTCTTGTTATTGCTAAATCATAGACTATACTTTATCAACCTGGGGAGCCCTTGTTGGATACTCCATAGATAACAGCCTCTCTCCCGTAACTCTTCATTTATTTATTTATTTATTTATTTATTTATTTACTACTTTTTTGAGACAGGATCTCTCAGTGTAGCCCTGGCTGGCCTGGAACTCAGAGAGCCCTATCCAAAGCTGGGATTAAAGGTGTGTGCTGCCCTGCCTGGCTACCATCACTATTTATTATTGTAACACCATTGCTTAGTGAAATCTAGTTGACTCTAGAAGCTTTGCAACAAGGTGACCTGGACCCAGCTCCTTTCTGTTTGGCAATCCCACAGCACTGGAAATCAACTGTTTAGTGACTGTCTTCCCTGTGTGGGTGCCTTGGTCTGCAGGAGACAGGGTTCCTGGCACTGCAGGGACAGATTCTCTATTGGATGTGATAGTAGGTAGGCATTGCCTTTCCCTTCTTGCAGCCTAAAGTCATTTATTTACAAATGAAATTCCCAACTAAGGTTCATTCAAGTCAAAATGGCTTTTGGGGTAAGCTATTACTTAAGACTGTGGAACTCTACTTTTTAGCCTTGCAATGGAGTACTGTAACCATGCTCTTAGTTTACCTCAAAATTTTTCCACAAAATTCTGCAGGTTTAATTTTCTAGTCTCCACCATGGCTCTTCTAGAGCAGAAATCTTGCCCTCCTATGCTATTCAAACCATCCAATTCCTGAAGAGACTGCAAACTCCTGAACTAGTTAGCATCATCATGCTACTTTGACAAATCTTCCACCCAGAAGCACCTTTGGCTTACACTAAACAAAGAAAACCACACTACAGTGGGGTTTGCAAAGGACAGATGTGATACAGTTAAAAGGGCCTGAGGAATAGGCTTAAGGATAGATAAGTTACAGTGGGCCTGGGTCTGGGGGTTGCCATCTAAGGGTTCAAGCAACCACTGATAAAAAAATAGCAGAAAGTAAATGGCATCTCTACTGAACACAAATGGAATGATTATTGTCACATCATTTATGTTGTATTGGGATTTATAGACAATTTACAGGTGGGAAAGCATGTCAGATGATATGCAAAGGTTATATGCAAACACACACTCTCTCTCTCTCTATTATATATATATATATATATATATGTATGTGTGTGTGTGTGTGTGTGTGTGTGTGTGTGTGTATAAAACATTTTATGTCTGAGACTGATTTTTGTACCCTATGAAAAAATTGTTGGCACAGATACAAGTTGGCAACCTTACTTCTGTTCATGTAATAGCCTTTACTTATATACACAGACATTTTTTTTTCCTTCAATAGTTGTGGAATTTTTTTTTCTTTTTCAAAATCTCTAAATATTCAGTCAGAATCCTTGATGTAAGTTGTGTCTTTTAAAGTTTCTCTAGTGAGTACAACAGGAATCAAGGGTTCAGCTGTCTTAAAAAAAATGCAAGCTTCCAACTTGGGCCTTAAAGAGGAAACCTCAAAAGTTTTGTTAAGAGTCATGTCCAACAGAACTTTGCAAACATGTTTAATTTGTTCTGTTGGTTTCCTAGTTCCCGTAAACAAAGTCTAAGTGCTGCCATCTGTAAGGCATATGACACCAACAGAAGGGTGCCTAATAGCCAGGAAGCATTAATGTTCTTAGCCTCGAAATTATTTGGAATCATCTGGCATGGTTTGTGTTGACAAGGCTGCTTAAAGCATGATTTCTGTGTCTTCCTACGGCAACACCACAGTGGGAAGGCCACGTTCTCTGGCTTTTGCCTTACTCCTTGTCTTTCTCATCAAACTGTTACAAGATGGATTTATAACAGACCCAAAGGTAGTAGCAAAATGAAAATTAGTTCTCGGGTAGAATAGAAATCCCATTTGACTCGCCTGTAGCAACTGTGTCATATCTGCTTCTACGAGCAAGGAAATGACTTCTTAATGTGCATTTCTTCCACTAAGAAGAATTAAATCTGTATGGCAAAATGGAAAACCAGTTTGCTGGCAGCCAAATTCTGAAAGGAAGATCCATGACCCTCATAAAGATATTTGTGGCCTAGTTCTATGCTAATGAGCCTCATTTAGGCTCAGACTTCCTTAGTGTGGAAATACAGCCCTGCTGGAAAGCAAGGCTATCTTTCCTGTACTGTTTTGCCTTCCACATCAGAGTTGCTCTGAGATAAATGGGGAAAAGTCTCTGCCTGCTGCAGGCTGCCAGGGTGGAGTCTCTAAAGTAGGATGAGGGTTTGAGGCCCAGGAGAATGAATATTACTTTCAGCTGAAAATTTTATTTGTGTGTGTGTGTGTGTGTGTGTGTGTGTGTGTGTGTGTGTGTGATGGGGTTAGGGATGCATGCCACAGCATGTGTGTGGCGGTCAGAAGACAACCATGTGGAGTGATTCTCTCATTTTGCCATGGTCTCCAGTGATCAGTTTGCATGTTTATGCCTTACTCATTTTGCAACCTGGTCAGCATGTTTTTCAGAACTCCCAAGGTTGTTTTTTAAAAGTATCCAAGTTCAAAGTGAGTATATATGCACTGAAATGAGAACAGTAACTATGGAATTGCCCATTTGTATAGATTATCCAAGATAAAGGAATCTGGTTGGGGATAATGCTGGCACCTGGCATTACCTACCTGGAGAAGTAAGACTTTCCCCCCACCCCCTCCCAGTTTCCTTCAGGGTAAATGGGATTAAGTAAGAAAACTGTAAGGATTATGTGAAATATGAGCCTCAGAGAAGCTGCCCTCCCAATCATAAATGATGTCAGTCACTGAGTGCTGTTCAACTACCTATCTGGTCACCACAACGTGAATCACTACAGGTCATCCTATGACCAGTTGTACTGTCAGCTTCTCTTGGCACATACAAAGCCACAGGATGGCAGAGTGGTGATGGAACTGAATTCCAATAGAAGATTCAGAGAGAGAGTAAGCCCTACAGAAAACCTGATCTCTGATAGAATAGACATGTTGTTCACTCTGCAGAAATCTTAAACATATATTTGCTCATAAACAGATATGTTTGTATAAATATATATATAAATGAATATGCATGAATTTGTGTTATATGTATGTTTATACATGGAGAGAGAATGGTCTATGGAGGAACTAAATTGACTAAATTTTGTTAATTTTCTATGCTATTTTCTTGTAGTTTCTATTGTTACAGGTACACTTAGATTCATAAACCTGCTACTTCTTAAACGAAATTAGAAAGTAAACTGAGAATGGAAAATGAATTCATGTACAGTCTATGCAGACCTGGAAAAAAAAGACTCAGTTTCTCTCTACTTCCTTTGTGACAGAGTTACAGCTTTATAGAAAACATGAAAGAAAAGCCAGAAAGTGTGTAACTATTAACTGGTCAGAATGTGGGAAATCTGACTAATCCTTCCCCTGCTTGGACCAAGGCTTCAGTTTTTCCGTGCACAGGACTGCTGGGAGATTCTACGTTTTTTTAGAGTCCACTTCTTTCAATAGTCTGAAAGTCAAAGGGAAGGGACTTGCATGTCTCAGCTTAGAATGTCTTCCTGTCAGGGCACATACAAAGACTTGGAGCACATAAAAGACAGTTAAGCCAGAGAAAAAGAGAGAGAAACCACAGGCCCCAATTGGAGGACTGAGGAAAACAGCAACTTCAGTCAAGAAGTCAATAATTAAATGGTGCTGACAATCAAAAGAGAATGACTGGAAATAGAGGCTGTATGGAATGGTGGGATGCTGCACTCAGCACCTCTTGCTTCACACAGCCTCAGTCTATCCCAGGCATATGCTAGTCAGGCAGGCAAGCATGAGGCAGCAACACCAGTGCAGCCTGATCTTGTTATTTTATTAGAGAAGCAAGAAATGTCACTTCTTATGTGAAACTCTTTATTTTCAAAATTGGGCAATTAATGTAATTAAGATACACCTACAGGCTTCTAATTTGTGAATTATTTTCACTCTCTCCCTTTTCCCCAACATTATTCAAGATCTCAGGGATTCTTTAATGAGCCTATTCTATCCCCCCCCCAAAGCTCCAGAAACATGACAAAGAGGAGGAGGACTCCCCAGCCCTTTGGAGATCTGAGGAGGAGATGGCTGCAGAAGCTGAGGAGCTGCGTGTCTACTTTCAGGTAAACATCAAGTTCTTCAACTTCACCCAGACCCCCTGGTGGGCCTCAGGAAATGAAAGATGATGGCTCTGAAAGAGGCAGAAAAGTAGCAGCACTGGTGTCACCCCTAGGGGACTACAAAGGACCTGAAAGCTATGTGAAGACAGTCTTGACCCATGTGGGATTTATTACTCCCTTCTTGACACTGTTGTAGGCATGGATAGGAGTCCAGAGAGAAAGTCCCGAGATGTCCAGGTTCTTGTGTCCTAAAACAAAGAATTGGATAGACTAGGGGCCTATGGTGACTGGTAGAGATAGAGGTAATTTATCGATAAAGAGTGCACTCCTGAGTGTGCAAGTGAACCAGACAGCTGGGGAGGCTACAGGCTTTGATAGGCTCAGCCAGGAGAGTGGCCAGCCTTTATTGGCCATCTGGGTAACATCAACCTCTCCGGTACTTGGAGTAGTTCACATAACTCTCAGTACTATACATTGTTATAATTAGTTTATTTTATTGTTGATATCTCACTATACTTTATAAATTAACCTTTGTCAGATTACAGAATAAAGTATATGGAGTATTGGTTACTGTCTCTAGTTTGGGGCACTGTTGGAGATCTTGGACAGAACCCCCTGCAGTTAAAAGACAACTGCTGGATACTGCTTTGATATGAAATCCAAGGAAGCTCAAAGACATATGCATTAACTGGCCATTCTCTCCCCTGCCTTGCTTTTAAAATATGTTAATTAGTTAATGACCCAGAGTGCTGTCCCCTCTAGTGTCTTGTTGAAAGTCTCAAGCTAGAAATAGCACAAGGATGCCTCCTTCCAAGTGTTTCCAGGTTTTGTGCTTTTTTGTTGTTGCCATTGTTTGGTTTACAAGACAGGGTTTCTCTTTGTACCTTTTGGAGCCTGTCCTGGAACTCACTTTGTAGAGCCAGCTGGCTTCTGCCTCCCAAATCCTGGGATTAAAGGCATTCATTTTCCAGGTTTTTGTCACTATCACAGAAAGAATTCAGAGTTAGATAATGCAAGGGTATTAGCTGAAATAACCTACTTAAAGGGGAAGTACAGGTATAGGCAGAGGAAATTTGAGAAATTTTTTTTGATGAGCAAGTTTGAATACAAGGGAGGATTATTCAAGAGTTAAGGGAGGAAATTCGGGAACCAGTATTTACTCTTTTTTCTATCGGTTTATGTAAATTTTAGATGTGTCATAGAGGCAGATTCGAGCAAGCAATTTTACAAGGCTGGTAACAGGGTTGGCATTAAGCAGAGGTTATTTGGTGTTCTCAATAGGCCATGTTGGCCTCTGCCATTATGGTAGCCTTGTGCCACCCTACAGATGATCTCTGATTTCTCTGTGCCTCTCAGGCTCCTCAGTTCAAGCAGGGCCACCTCAAAGCTCAGTTGTTCCTCCATGCTTGAGCCAAGTCTGTGTTCCTTTCCATGAAGGAGTACAGAGAAGTGTAGCAGAAGCTATCAGTCACATTTTATTTTTAACCTTTCCCACTGTTCACCTTCTCTTCTGTCTGAAGAGAAAGGATTGATAATGAACACTGGCCTATGGACATGACCAAACACTGTTTTCTATTCAATTCCTCTTCAGAAGTCCAGTGTGTCACTTTGGAATGCCCTGTTGAAATGAGGGTGCCACATCTTCAGGCACAATTTATTAGACTGAAAATTGTTTTTCTGGGCTCCCTATACAATGGGTATTTTTAGGTAGAGGCAAGAAAGCTCTAGGTTTTTGTGGAGGCCTTTGTGAAATTGTAAGGGTCTACCTAAGAGCAAGTCATCAGTATACATTAAGATTTTAATTTCTAACTCAATTCTTACATGCTTCTGCCCTGAGCTCTGAATCTACCTGTCTTCCAAGAAAGTCTTGCCAGAAAAACATCTGTCCTAGGCAGTCACACAAACCATTGAGCAACATGCTTATTCATTGTTTTAAGTAACTAAAACTTGCATCTCTCTTTAATGGGCTTCGATTACAGATTAAAGTGACCTATGTGGGGACTGAGACTGGAAAAAAAAGACAGCAGCCACTGCCACTGATGGGAAGAGGAGACACTTAAACGGAGGGTTCTTAGACTTATCCAGAGCATCACCACTACCTGCAGTACAAAGGGATTAGTCTCTTTAGTTATTTGATGCTAGCCTCTCTATTTTCAAATTCATCTTTATACTCAATTTGTATATACTGTTATCTAGACTAATAATGCAACATTTAGATTTACCTAGGCTTAAGAAAGTATTTTTTGTTTATGTGAAATTAAGATGAACTTGGCTTCCCCAGACTTTCCTGGTTATACTGTCAGAAGCATATCAATGATGGGCAGGATGACTTGAAAGACTTGGTCTATTACTACTCTGCAAAATCTTGAAATTCCCAAGAGGCACACTTGGAGATAGGATGGGGACCTGAGAGAGATGACAGTCATCAATCTTTACTGAGAAGACACATACACTCACAAAATATCCTATTATAAAACCCAAGCTCAGCCACAATAATTTGTTCTGTGGTCACTGGTTTAGGAGTGACAATATCCACAATGCCAACATAACAATTCAACCCATAGATGTCATTCTTAGTTGTTACACTACTCACTCTTCCAGCCACTGCATATTTCCTTTCCCAGCTCCTATATCACCCCTCAAGGAGTCCTTCATGCTCTTCCTATCCAGTAGCCTCTCTGGTTTCCTTGGAAAGGGACTTTCCTCTGCTGCTGAATTCTGTTGTTCTCCAGCACCTGGCTCTCTACCACCCTGGGCGAGGTAGTAAGGACCAAAGCACGCCCCCGCTTCCCAGTTTCATAACTGAGTTTGCTCCACTTTCATGTTTGTTCAAACTATGCTGATTCCTACTAGGCTGCTGTCCTTCCTTGTTTCTCTACCATCTGACCATATGCCCAAGTAATATGACCTTGGGTGGGTCCAGTGCTTACCTAACCTCATTGCTCCCTCCATTGCCCTATAAATTCTCATAACTTCTCTTCTCTTTGTGTAACCCCTAGGACACTGCTTACTTCTTATTTCCCTGATTCACTTTTCACACTGCAGTACATTTATCTTAAGTTATATGTCTTAGCCTCATTTTAAAAGGGAACACTGTGTCTAATTAGAAGTATAAGCATGGATTGAAAAGAGATGCAGTGATTATGGAATGCCAGCTCTCTGTAGTTGCTCACCTACAACTGCCAGCACCAAGCTCCATTCCATCTTCTAGAAAGTGAGGCCAGTTGTATTTTGGCTTAAATTCCATCACTAAACTGAGACCCTGCAACTCTCTGCTTGACATATTTAGAAATATTGTAATAAAATAATCTCTGAGAAATTTAATATGTCATTAATATTAATGACAATCAACAGTGCTGATCAGAACGGAAGAGTAAGCTGACCCCAGACCTACTCCTCCAAGCAAGAGGAGAAGATAATGTCCATGGAAGAAAACCACCTTATTGCACCTGTATTGCACAAGAGGCCCTACTGTGTCCCAGCTGATTAAGTCTATGAAAATTACTGGTTTGCCTAGAAGAATAAGCTTCTAGGTGAATTTCTGACCATTCTGCTTGCTTAGAGTCTATGTTAGCCTTCAAAGAATTTCAGAGAAGAATGTGAACACCTACAGCTAAGACACCCTGTATCTACAGAACAAAGGAATATAATAGGCAATGAGATCCCCTTGAATAATGTTGTCTTATAATGTAGAAACCCCACTCCATGTTTTCTTTATGCATAAACTCTGGAGATGTTAGGACCATACAGTTAAAAAGTCCTTAAAAACCACACATGATTGATCAGCTTCTGGCAGCCATCAAGGCAACACCATTCGCTTACTCATATAGAGGAATTTTCAGTGTCCTTCCATAAGCCCCTGCAAGGGAGATGGTGATTTAGCCCCCTTCTTTATCTCTTTGTCCAACCAGAACACAACTAGCTTAGAATTTCTTGGGCAATCATGAAAAGCAGACACTGCTATTGCTGTGCCAGGGAAGGCAGGTGCTCTCTGGTTGCTGGGTGACGATGCTATAGATCTCTGGATATCTGCTTGACAGATCCCCAGTGGGACTGGACTCCTTCAGTTCCAGAAATTCAGTGTCTCCTCTCTGTCTCTATGAATTTATGCATTGGTTCCCTGTACACTAAGCTGATTTCCGGGATGGACTTTGTCTGTGAGAGTGGATCTGCATCTCTTATCCTAACCTTGCCTCCTTTCCTAATTGTGATGATTCTCTCTGTAGATATTTAACACTTGGATTTTCTGCTTCTCTAATTTTAATTCAATGACATGTGTACCAGTGGGGAATGATGCTGCCATCGCCTCCTCCCCACTGGAACTGAGGGATCTATGTTGTAAGATATGCAAACATCACCTCCCTACTTTGATGGGAAGTCAAAGCAGGACAGGTTTCCACACTGTGTTGTTTTAGAGAGATCATTTGAATTCAAAACATTCCCCCTGTGTGTATCTTTACTTTATAGATAATTGGTTGCCTCTCATTTACTTATCACAGTGCAGTGCAATTTCAAAGCAACTGAGTCTGCCCAAAACAACATTATTAATAGTTACAGATGTACTGTCAAGGAAGATTTTGGCACTAGCATTTTTTAAAAGCCACTATGATTTCAGCCACTGGACAACCGCTGATAGTCATGAACCACAAAGGCAAGCACTATGGGACAAGGCTGCCTGTTTGTCCTATGCTCTAGTCTGTAGATTAAGCCTCTTAAAATCTACTCCACCAGCAGCCATAGAGCAGGTCTGCCTCACACAAACAGCTTCCAGTGACAAAGACTCAAGGGGTTCATGAAAGAAATTTGGGGGGAAGAGGTAGCTTGAGGGATTTAGCATGGACCCCCATGGGGAGGTGACCTTATTAACAGCAATGGAATTGTTTGCCCATTCTCCTTTAATAACCCCCCAATTGATATGACCACAGATTTTCTTTAGCATGATGAGTAAGAGATGATGCCTCCCTTAAGACTAAGTATTTGAATATGAACATATTTGACTATGT